CCCGCTCGCTCTCGAGCCGCGCCACGGTCTGCCGCAGCCGCACGCCAATCTCCCGCTCACGCGCGATGGCGGTCTCAATCTCCTGCTGGTTCTCCACCTCATTCGCGATAACTGCCTCAATGAGACCCATCTTTTCCCGTTCCTTCGCGCTGTGCTTCTTCAGTGTCTCTTGGTCCTTCAGCAGCACCTCATGAGCGCGACGGAGGTCCTCCGTCTCCCTACGTGCGGCATCGATGCGTTTTTGAATGGTTGCCTTCTGCCGCCGCAGGTTATCCTGGTCCTGCCGGATGTCGTCATTCTGCTGCACGAGGCGGCGCAGCTCCTTGAAGTCGTTGTCGCGCACACGGTGGGTCCGCTGCTCCTCGGCACGGAGCTCCACCGCCTTCTTCTCAGCCTCCAGAATTTCCTTCCGCACCTCACGGTGCCGCTCATTGAGTGCCTCCGTTGTGTCCACTGCGTCATCGTACGACTGCTGCGTGTGGTACAACTGCCGCTCCGCCGTCTCAATCTTTTGTGCCAGTGCCTGCCGCTTGTTCTGGTCTTCCTGCAGCTGTGCTCGGAGTAGATCCACCGCGGCGGTGAGGCTCGACTGCAGTTGCTCGTGCGCCCTGAGCTCCTTGCTGCGCTGCTGCACAAACAGCAGCAGCTCCCGCACCTGCGCATCGGAGCGCTCCCGCGCCTTCAACTCCTTGTCGTACTCCTGCCGCACCGTCTTCTCGCGGTCGGCGGTGCGCCGCAGTTCANCCTCGGCGCCCTCCCGCGCCTTCAACTCCTTGTCGTACTCCTGCCGCACCGTCTTCTCGCGGTCGGCGGTGCGCCGCAGTTCATCATTGTGGCTTAACATCTCCGCCTCCGCCTCCTTCTCCTTGTTGCCCATCTCGTGGGTCTCGCGCGTGAGGGCATCCGTCTGCTTCACGAGTTCGTCGTAATCCGACTGGAGGCGCTTCTTTTCTAGCTTGAGCTCCTCCAGCGTAGCGGTTTGTGTGGAGGTGAGTGCTGTGCCGTTTTCTATGATGTCCTGCAGTGCCGCGACCTCCTCCTTGAGCTTCTTGACTGTCTCCTTCGCGCGTGCGTCCTTCTCATTGGCGGCGTCGACCATGCGCCACGCCTTCTCGATCTCCTTCTTGAGTGCCTCAATGGTGCTGTGGTCGCCCTGAGAGAGCTTCACCGCCGCCTGCATCTTTGCCGCGTTGCTCATCAGCTCCTGCGTCAGCTGCTGGCACCGCTTCACCAACCGCTTCTCCGACTCGTGGCTCTTCTTAAGGGCACGGTGCAACTTGTCGTACTCGGCGCGGAATCGGCCGAAGTTCTCGTGCTCCTCGAGCGCCTTCATCGCCTCATTGAAGTCGCGCTCGAGGTTCGCTAGAACGCCGTCCGTGACGGTGACCTCCTCCGGTTTCGCCGAATCCATTTTCTTTTTATTTTATTGCGGGAGGAGAAGGTCTGCCGCACCAAAATGCCTGCTGTTCCCCTATATCGTCATATGTGGGCGTGAGTGAGTGAGTGAGAGTGTGAGAGGGTGTGAGAGTGCAGTTCGGATTGGCAGAAGAAAAACGGAAGCAACAACGGGGAAAACATACGCGCAGCACAGAGCCAAAGATGCAATTCCATAGAGAAACAGATACACACACACACACACACACACACGCACAACACAGAGAGAGAGAGCGTGTGTGCGAGTGAGAAAGAAAGAGAGAAAGGTACCTCTGACGGAACGACACGAGTACGGCAATCACAGCAGCCACGTCTCTCTACTGTGGGCCCGCCGCCCGCCCACCCTCACCACCGTCACTCTCGTCCGTGGCGTGCTCCACCGGGCTGCGGATGATGAACTCGCGCCGCAGCGCCGCGATCTTCTCGTCAACGCCCACCAGCGCCTCGTCGAACTCGCCGCGGCTCAGCGCGCGCTGCTCGAGGTCTTGCAGCCAGTCCTTCACCTCATCAAAGGCGCCCTGCAGCGATCCCTGCAGGCACTGCTCGTTGAGCACCTCGCCATGACGCTGCAGGTTCTCCCGGATGTCCGCGGCGTCCTCCTGCAGCAGCGCCACCTTCCGCGGCAGACCGTCGGCCACCTGCGCGATCCGCTCGACCGCCTCCATCGTGTCCTCGACAAGCTGCACGTGCTTGCCACTCAGCTCACTTTGCACCTCCTGTATCTGCGCGCATGTCCGTGCCACATGGCTCTTCAGCGTCTCCTCAATGTGGCGCCGCGCCCGCTCCTCGAGGGCGCGTGTCTTGGCATCGGTGGCGACGACATGCGTCTCCAGTCCGCGGCGCACGGACTCCAGCTCCCCTTGCAGCTCTCTGGCTGCCTCTTCTATGGATTGCAGCGTCTCACGGTGCAGGGTCTCCTGCTCCTCACGGCGCTTCGTCTCGTGTTTCGCAAGTTTTTCGTCAACGCTTCGGCTGCTACGCTGCAACGCCGACACCGAGTCCTCTTGCATTGACTGGAGCCTCTGAGTTAGTGTTTCGCGGAGCTCTTCTATATTCTCAAAGGATGGGGTGCAGGAAACACGCTGTTGCAGCTGCCGCTGTTGCTGCTCGAACTGTGTGAGGCGTTCCTCCACCTGCGTAAGGCGACTACTTGCCCCTTGGAGAGTACTTTGGATACTCTCTATACCCCTTTGCATGCCATCAAGCCGTTGATTTGTCGACGTTGTGTGCCGCTCAATGTGTTGCTTAAAGTTCAGGAGCAGATCACGCACCTCACTCTTTAGTGCGTCATGATGTGGTAGCGCTGCGGCAGCAGCAGCAGCAGCAGTAGAAGTTGCCGTCTTTCCATTGCACCGCCGCTCCAACACTGTGCCGTCTCCTTCCCAAGCCTTGTCTAGAAGTTCCTGCAGCTGCTGGTACATGGACGCCAAGTCGCTACAGTGCTGCCGCTGCTCTGCAGAGACGACTTGCCACTGCGCCGTTTGCTGCTCCTGCCGCTGCCGCAGCGACGTGACGGCATCCTGGAGCTCCTCGAGCTGCTCCCACACATCGCGCTGCCCGTGTAGGGACTTGAGGCGGTAGTCCAGTGTGCGGTATTCCATGTCCCACCCCCAAGGGCCCCTGCGCTACTCAAAACACGGCAACATCAACAAAAGTGGTGGGTAAGGGAAGAGACAGAAGATGCACACATGTATAAAACGCTGTTAATAACAGCACGCAAAAACACTCCTCTCTGGAACACGGGAGAGAGAGAGAGAAGGAAAGGGGAGACACGAACAACTTCGTTCTGATTTTCCCTCTCTGCTTCCTTATTCAACCAGGAGACCAATGCACCTGTAACAGACAAAAAAAAAACAAGGGTAATTGCGCATGAGAGTCAACGCGAACGCAACAATAACAATCAAACAACATGCATATCTCATAGAGCACATTGGGTGTGTGCGTCTCCCAGCGTACCCACTCCGCTCCATGTACGTGACGCCATGCAGCACCTCCTTCAGCTGTATCTATACAAAAGCCACACTCCTCTCCACTCCCTCACCCCCAAAACCCTAACATATATATATATATATATATATATAGCCCTCTCCTACTGTTTTCACTGCACTACACACACCCATTCCCACTTTCCCTCACTCATGCTTCTCACTCGTCTTCCACCACCCACCACGACTACTTATCATTCTCGATTTCTCACTCGCTTGCTACTATCCCTCACGCTATAAAAAAAAAGGTAACCCCCCCCCCCTTTTGCCTATCTACCAACCCAGCTAACCAGCCACCCTGCCCTACCAGCGAAAGTCGTTAAATATATTCGTGATATCCATGTAGGTTCCGTGGAGCTGACTATCAGAGGAGTCGTTGTTGTGCTCTGCAAAGAGTTTCACACCTGGTAGCGGGGGACAGAGGTTGTAGTTTTTGTCGTCGGGGCGGTTAGCAGGGGACCAGCCCTGCGTGATGCGAGTGAGCATGTGATGAAATGGCTCACGTCCCTGTAAAAATTCCTTCATCTTAGCCTGCACCGCCGGTGGGAGGCCATCCTCGAATTCCACCATGAGCGTGCTCAGTTTTCCCATCTGATCCTGGAAGTGAACCACCTGATCACCGTAGCGTGACATGTTGCGGTAGGACTCTGTAACACTCTCCCTGTGCAGCAACGAGGCAAAGTAGGGACGCTTCCACTCGAATTTGCTCACTTTACCAATTTTGACCGCTGGTGCGCCGCCCCAAAGTTCGCCATCGCCAATTTTTGTGTCCGCAGTTACAACACTACCTGGAAGAATGTGCACCATTGTTCCAGTCGTCACCCCTTTCATAATCTTTGTGTTGTGGCCGATGCGGTTAAAGGGACCGATGGAGCAGCTATCCAGAAAACAGTTTGGCTCAATGATTGTATTCTGCATGATGCGGCACACCCCATCCATGCCATCCCACTGCTGGTAGGGGTTGATGGCCTCGTGGCGTTGGTAGGCTAGGAGGTCTGACGGCGCATCACTCACAATACATGTGTTCTCCATCACCTGCACACCCTCAGCAATATACACACAGTTTGTGTCCCCCTTAACCGTGACCCCTTCCATAATGACAGAACCTATTCCCACTATCACTTGTCCAATCAGTGATGCCGTCTGCCCTATGTACTCCGCTGAGGCCTCAGCTGAGGCGTGGTAGTTATTCGGTACTTTCTGGTAGAAGTAAAGCTGTGCGCACACGCGGTTCATCGAGAAGGGCTCCAGGTAGTTGTCATACAGAACTTGCATGAGCCGTGACCCTTTCACAACGGGCCCGTAGTCTCCGTACGACAGCTGCATGAATGCTCCATCGTAGTGGTTCGTTGGGCCCCACTGAATGAGTGCAATCGGGTGCCGCGGGTCTTCCGGGTCTGTAATCACACCCGCCCGGTCGTTCATATTTGTCATGGATGTGCCGCCCTGCATCGTGAGCGTTTCCACCGGTAGCTGCTTTATCCAGCTGACCCAGCCGGGGCCGGCGTAGCGTCCATCCATATGGCCCCACAT